GGGTGGTGGCAACATCTCAGGGGTATGGGATGGCTCATTCTTTTCAGCCAGTACTTTTTCTTCTGGAGACCCTTTTAGAATCACCTCTTCTCCTCCAAAAGCTTTGGAGATAATGTCTGGAGGCAAAAGAAGATCAGCTGAAGACTCCTTAACCACTGGCAAAGGTTTAGCAGTGGTTCCAGATGACTTGATGGACAAAAAGGTGTTAAGAGGAGCAGGCTTGCTCACTGTAGCTGCACCTGACTTGCGGAGTACCGTGGATGGGATAGGCAGGTTGGGTCGGATTTTAGTCTGAGTTGAAGTTGTCACTACAGGCATCCAGGGGCTGGTATGTGCAACAACAGTTTTTCCAGACAGCTTGATTTTGATGGGCTTCACCTTCCCAGTTTCAGCTTTGCTATCTTCTTTGTCCTTACTGCTTTCCGCAGTCTCTTCTTTAAGGATACTTGGGCCCACCACTGAACTCTTTTCCTCTTCTTTTTCTGGCTTCTTCCAGCTGAATTTCCCAAAAGATGATGATATTGGTGATTCCTTCTTCACTTCTTTTAATTGGAGTTTGATGTTCATATTCTTTTTATTTTCAGCTTTTTCAGGGGCATTCCAACTCTCAGAGACTTGGTCTTCTAATTCCATACAGAGCTTGTCACCCTCCTTTGTTTCTTTCACAACCTTTGCCTTTTTTTCTTTCTCCTCTTTTTGTTTCTCCCTAAGTTTGCGTTTTAGCTCACTTTGCCGTCGCCGTTCTGTCTCTAGGACCACAGCCAAACCAGCCTGGCGGTCCAGATTCCGCCGTTCCTCGTACAATGGATTTTCATCCACATATTTCTGGGAAGAGAAAAGATAAAAGTTCAACAACTGGTCAAAACAGTGTAAGGGAAAATCTTGGCCCCTGCCATTGTTAGAATTCACTTAGCAGAAATCCCTAGAATAATCCTTTCAAGTAATCTTTTTTCTGCTAGCTGTTTTGTTAGCTCTGTTTCTCTCATTAGGATTGAGGGGAATCACCTAGTGGTTATGTGGAATTTGAAGTGTCAGTGACTATTTCTGACTCTGAAATTCTACAAAGTTAAAAAAGTTATTACAGAAGGCAGTAAACTTCACAGGATACTACACAAACCAACCTTGTATTTCTCATTGTGTTGGTGACCCTTCACGTGTTGCTCTCCAGAAATTGGATCCCCCAAAAATTCTTCACAGAGTTGACAGTAAAATCCAGTGGTAGGAATCAGAAACTCCGAGCCTGAAAGAAATAAAAGTTAAGGAAATAAGTCTTTTTCACCAAGAGTGACAACAACTAAAGGAAATCTCACCAACCCTTTGTAGTATGATGGTTGTACCTTACCCACTCTGAAGTCAGAGCAGCATTTTGGTTGAATCCCAAGGGCACAGTCCTTCCAGTCTAAGGCTTGAGCTCTCAATCTCTTCCTTCTATCTCTTGGGAACACTAACTGGCTAAATGAGGAGTTACCTATGCTAGACCTATCTCTGGTGCTGATTGTCCTAGAATTCCAGGTAGCATAAAGGATCCTGGGAGGCTTAAACCAGCCCAAACAGCCCACTATCATTTGTATGAGGATCTCTCATGTTAGTATTAATTACCCAGGAATCTATAGTCTGCAGAGCTAAAGCATGTGGTAGCCATCACTTAATACTTGTGAAGATAAAGTGAAAAGTTTAAAGCCAAACTTTTTACTTTTCAACTTACCCCTGAACTCCTCAAAATATTTTATAGTTCTTAGTTGAAAAGGTAATTAAATTACTACACCTTTTATGGTCTTTTATACCTGGACTTCAAATCAGTAAGATTTTGGGGCATAAGCTAATGACAAAAACAGCTGTTCTGCTCTATTTTAAGTGGTACTTATATACTGAATATCTGTTAGATTTCTAGCCATATAGGTAGAGATCATTCTTTTTCTACCTTTAGGACCTAACACATAAGTACATCAAAGCCATTCTTACAGCTTTGTTAAAAGGAATAGGTATGACTAGGCTATGCTACTTCCTGGCTACTTCCTTGGTATAGGGACATCTCTTTCTCAAATGAATGTAAGGAAACCATAACAGAGTCAAAGAGGAAACATACCTTTTGCAGGAACAGTTATCTTGTCAGTGCGCTTTACAGCATCTTGCTTGACCTCACTCTGGGTCTTTGAAGCCCAAGGTCTGTGGTAGGGATCCAGTGTCTATTTGCAAGAGGCAGAGGCGCTCACACAACAGTACTAAAAACTCAACGACCCACTTTTCTCCCCCCACCCCATATATAAGATCAGGGAAACAGAAGCCCCTCAATACCCACCCACTACCCATCCCTTCTGCCAACTGTTTAAATGGAAATCACCTGTGGAAAAGGTAAACACATGTTAGAGTAAGTACTAGAAATAGATAAAATGAAACAAAAAAATAAGGCATGTAAAGAATCAAAAGAGGCAGAGGCCTCACTTACACTTGTCATGATGGTTAGTTCTAGGCAGGTACCCTGGTCTAAGCCCTAGGGACAGTGTCTCCTTTGTTGATATCTCTTGGCTCTTCAGATTGAGAATACTTCATCTTTCAGCTTTGTAATGCAGATGGGCATACAGAAGTTGGAAGCAAATGAGGGTGATAGTGGAAACAACAGAGGGCAAGATACCTACCTGTATGTGCTTCTTATTGTGCATGTGGGTGAAGAAGTCAAACATGGTCCCACAGATGGTATTGCAGTCTTTGCACCAGTGGTTACCAGCATCATAATACTCATAACTAGCAACAGGCTGATCAGACTGCTTAGCAGGAGGCTGAGAGCTTTCAGCAGGCTTAGGGCTCTTAATACGGGACTTTTCATGGTTTACCTTTGATTCCTAGAGGGGAAAAACCTGCACTTACAAAGGAATTCAAGACAAACATGTTTCTTTTCTGTCAGAAAAAGTGTCCATAATAATAGGAATATGGTTATAGGACCATATTTCTAATGCCTAAAAAACCCATATAAGCTGGGGAGAACCAAGGCTACAAGTTTCAAAGAAAGCTAATTAGACTCCATTAATTCTCATTTCATGGAGAATAAATCATAATGGTAGTATAGTTGCTTACACATCCTAAATATCTCTAGAATACCACCCAAGATAGTGAAAATACTGGTTGCCTTTGGTGAGAAGAACTAAGAACAGAGTATGAGTCTTCTTACTGTATAACTTCTGGTAGATAATGAATGTGTTATCTATGCAAACAAATACAATGGTTAAATATTAAAATTATAAAGGCAACTACAGAAAGAAGAAAAATCAAAATGCAAAGGTAACTGACAAGTTAGGGTAAATGAAAAAAACTGGTGACAGTGAACTCAAACATCACATTTATTCTGATATGGAAAACTGGAGAGTAGTGTTGGTTAATGTTAGTGTGTGAGGAACAGAAAAAAGGTAATTTTGTCATACAGAAAAAATAAGTATGCATGGGGCTTTACAGCAGAAAAGAAAAAGAAAGTAGGCACCTGGAATACTGGCTGATCTGTGAAGATAGGAGATAGCAAAAGGGAAAAACAGATGCTTAAAAGAGTCACACTTGGAAGGAAGGGAATCAGAAAGTTCATCCACTGCTGGTGGGAGTATTAACTGGCACCATCTTCTGGAAGGCAATCTAGGAATATGTATTCCATACCTCAAACATTCTGGATACTTCTGACCCAGAAATTCTTCCTTGACATTTAGTCTAAGGAAATTATGTCAAGAAAGGTGATTTGATTGGTCAGCTAAATTTTGCTATCAATGTGGGAAAAAAACCCACAAAAACAAAGTCATTAAAAGTCCATATTAAAGGGGGGCCGGGAATTTAGCTCAGTGGTTCTGCCACCTGCCTCACAAGTTCAAGGTTCTGAGTTCGATCCCTGGTGCCAAAAAAAAAAAAAGTTCATATTAAAGGGCTGGAGATGTAGCTAAATAGTGGAGCACTTGCCTAGCATGTATAAGGCACTGAGTTCAATTCCTAGTACAGAAAAAAAGAAAAAAATTATAGAAGTGTGTTCATTGACATGGAAATTTGTTCATGATATACATGAGTAACAAAATGCATCTGAATAAACAATAAAGATATGTAAAGAGGTATAGACTGTGAAAAGTTACTTTAACGAAAATACCTTTCTCCAATGAATTTATAACCCTCTTCTTAGACTCTTGATATATAGTTCAGGCTGGCCTTTAACTCAGTATGTAGCCCAGGCTGGCCTCAAACTCGCCTGCCTCAGCCTCCTGAGTGATGGGGTTACAGGTGTGTACCATCACACTCAGCTCCTTTTAGGCATTTTTCATTACCTAATATGACTTTGTATACTTACTGTGTCTTTTCCTATTTCACGAAAACATAATCTATACTGTTCCTGCTATACTTTCCACATCTAGAATAGTGCCTGACACATTCTTGGTGATTAATAAGTATTTGTTAAAGGAACAAAAGAAGAATATATAAAATTATATACATCAAGATATAATAGGGCCAGGGATTTGGCTCAGTGGTTCTGCTGCCTGCCAGATCCAGTGAATAAGGTGCATGAGAACATACCATCATGTTTATATGAGCTGGCTTTCCATTGGTAGCACTCCGCAGCAGCACTTTTGATCTTCTGATCATATCTAATAAAGACACTTAGAAAAGGACTTCTCTAATGCTTCAGAAAGTGGCAAGAATGATGGGATAAGTATGTTTGACATGAGGGGGAGCATTCTCAGGAGGAGGGAATGGCAGTGTGTCAATGTGTTTACTGTATTATTTTTTTTTTAAATGTAAACATTCACTGTGTATTTTGATCACATCTTGTAAGTTAACTAAAAAGGGCCAGATTGTTTAAGCTCATAATTCTCTCAACAAAGATCCTGGACTCAAGATCTACGTATAAAGAGACTAGAGTCTATCTCATTGAGAGAGCTCTCCTAGGAAGACAGAAATTAGAGCAAGGCTGATAAATAATAGAGGACACCCTCTTCCCTATCCCTCAACATTAACTGAGTACCTACACCATGTGCCTAACATACTGAATAATGTGAAAACAGAAAGATAAATCAGTTGTGTTTCTTTATCTTCAAGAATCTTTCATTTAGAGGAGAAAACAGATATGAGAATAATCTTTTAGACAGAATGAAATAAATCTTACAAAGAAACAAGGAATTTATTAATGGGAATGCTAAAAAAAAGGATGACTAAATCTGGACAGAATTCTGACAATTCTTCATGTAGGAAGGATTATTCATCAGGCGGATCCTCAATGGATGAGGAGGGCTCCAAGAAAGATTATTCCTAACTTTATTAATGAAAAATCAGATAGCATACTGCACATCTGGAAAACTGTGAGCACTGTGAGATAGAGTAAGAGTATAAGATGTAGTATAACGTTCTTTGAATACTACTCATTACTATGTGCCAGGCACTTAGCTATATATGGGGGACTACAATGAAGAATGTGACAGATTTAACTCCTGATCCCTTGAATGCTAAAAACTAATTGGGAGAACATGTGTAATTACATAATTACAACTGTCATAAATGCAAAAAGGGAAAATTATAAGTTATTACAAGCAAATTTAATAGTCTGACAAATCAGGGAGGGGAATTGAAGTAATGCTGTGATCTGAAGAATAACTATGAGCTAGGAGAGAGAAAAAGGAAAGAGTTAGGCTTGCTTGGTAAAGAAAGGGAAGATGTAAAGGCACTAGAGTGAATGATATGTTTGAGGAAGAAAAAGGCCAGTAAATTACAGTAACCAAGAAGGAAGAGGCATGCAATTGAAGAGGCAGGTCAGGGAGTATTACAATCACTGGCTACATGTGAAGAAAAGACTAAGAATGTTGCAGTACAAGCAAGAACTGAAGTGGATGGAAATAGAGACAGTAAGGGGATTACAACTGAGATTTACTTTGAAAAGAGAGCTACAGGACTTGTAATTGATTTGGTATAGGGCAGTTAGGAAGAGGAAAGTACTACGAATGTTCCTGAAATTGTTAACATGAAAACTGTTAGATACCCAGGCATGGTGGCACAGGCTTACAATTCTAAGCTACTCAGGAGGCTCAGGCAGGAGAATTATGTTTGAGGACAACCTTGGCAATTTATTGAGACCCTGTGAAAAATAAGAATATAGCTCAGTGGGAAAGTAACTGTCTAGCATGTATGAGTCCTTGGGTTCAATTCCTAGTACAGGAAGGAAGGAAAGAAGAAAGGTACATAGGTAGGAAGGAGGGAAGGAAGGAAGGAAAGAAAGAAGGAAGGCAGGCAGGCAGGCAGGCAGGCAGATGGGGAGAAAGGCAGGAAGGTGAGCAGGGAGGCTATTGGATAGTGGTGCTATTCATTAAGAATAGATAACACCAGGACCAGGGATTTAGCTCAGTGGTTCCACTGCCTGCCTCACAAGCACAAGGACCTGAGTTCTATCTCTGGTATAAAAAAAAAAAAAATAGATAACACCAGAGAGTGGGCTGTTACACTACTCAAAAGAATCATTTTAGCTGAAACATAAAAATGAAAGTTGACACATAGTATTTTCACATAGAACTAGATGAAACGACTTGGAGAGAAAGAGTAGGATTCTGAAGAACTGGGCTAGGAATGAGCCCTGACAAGTTCAAGTATTTAAAGATCATGTACAGAAGGACAGGCAGTAAAGGACAAGCTGCAGTAGCCAGAGGAAAAGAAGTATGACAGAAGATAAAACAAGAAAGCATTTGAAGAAGAAAGTACTTTCCTGAGTTAATGCTGCTGAATGGAGAATTGAAATGTAGCCATTGGTTTTAGCAACACATTGGCACACAGGAACATGGTTACTAAATATAAACCTCCCAAGAAACCCGACATATACCTACACTGGACCAGAGTAGGTTAAGGAATAAATTCTGTAACAAGAACATGGAAGGCCTTAGATGCTAAGGATTTTGTGTACCATTTTGTGGGCAACAAGGAACTGCTACAATTCTGAAGGAGAGCACAATGATTTGATCGATGCTTTAAGAAAATATAAATATTATAAACTGTAAATACATATATCCAAAAAAAAGAACAAGATCAAGAGATGGGTGGAGTGGAGAAGGAGGGAAGGAAAAAGGGATGAGAAAAGGAATTAAATTGTATTATATACACGTACCAATTCCCTACAAGGAAAGTACACATTATGTACTACATATATATTAATAAAAAAAAGGAATGAACTGAAGCCCGATACATGCTAAATATAAAACAAATTCTTCAGGACACAAATCATTATCTTATGCAAGAAATTATAAAAGTCAAAAATACCAAAAAAAAGAATGAATGAAAGAAAATAATTCTAAGAAGAGTTAAGAATACTTTGAAAAATGAAGCCAAGAAAATATTACAAAGCTTCTGTAGGAGTTTGTGGAAAGAAAAAGATATAAGCTGAGTTATTACCTTATTGCTAGAAGAGTTTGAAGAGGCCAATACTTTCTCTGGGCTCTTAGATTTTTCTGCTTTCCCAGGTTTTTCAGTGGGGTCTTTACTGTCATTTGAGGATTTCTGGGATTTATCAAAGATGTTAATTCCCAAGATCTGAGCCACTTTGTCGAGTTCAGATTGCTTCTTTTCTGCCTCTTCTGCTTCCTGCCTTAGCTCTGCAATGTCCTTCATGATGTTATCCTGCAGCCGACTCACCTCCACCAGGAGTGGGTCTTTGTGACCATCCTTCTCCCTTCTCTTCTTACGTAGCATCTCCCCTGAGTAGTCAAGTGCCAATAGAAAAAATGGAGGAAATAAAGTGAGTCATTTTTCATTTAAAGTAATGGCCTATCAGAGTTTTATAGTTACAAAATCATTTCCACAAAAGTTTTTAATAAATGAGACTCTCCTTCCACCTCATATGAAGGGGCAGGATAGGTGATCAGTCATATTATCCTTTCTGCAGGGTGACTGTTAAGAGGATATAAATAAGCTTCATGGTTCTACCAACTCTCCAAATAGGACATACACATTCTGTGTGCATATTCCCCTAAGATTAATAAATACTGTAACTTTGAATATGGCAGCTGTCCCCTCTTCAGAGAACCAAATAATTATTCAGTGGGTAAAAAAATATTAAAGTCACATATTTTATCTGATTTAAGGACACTACCAACTCCCACAGTGAGTTTCAGGTTTTGTCTCAGGCTCACCTAATGTTATCCCTTATTCTAAACTGCAGATACTCATAGACTGATCTTTGAAGGATAAATAAATTTCTTATCCTTAAACAATCCACACCCAGACAGAAGCAATTATATCTTCTATTGTTATTTCATCCTGTAAGCTGCAATATTCAGAGGCCTTGTGATATTCTTTTTTTCATTACGTATATCAATCCCTAAAAGCACAGATGAAGAAATGGAATAAAAAGTAAGGCATTAGGGCCGGGGATTTAGCTCAGTGGTTCAGTGGCCTGCCTTGCAAGCACAAAGACCCGAGTTCAATCCCTGGTACCAAAAAAAAAAAAAAAATGTAAGGCATTACAAGGGCCGGGGATTTAACTCAGTGGCACTATGCCCGCCTGCCAAGTACAAGGTTCTGAGTTCAATTCCAGTATGGGGAGGGGTGCAGCATTACAGAGTATCGTGGAGCAAAAAGTAAGGACATGCTCAAAAGGAGATGAGGGACTACTGAAAGGGCATGGAGCCAGCTCATGGGGGTTCCACTAGCTAAATCTGAGACATTCTGAGCATGAAAATAAATGATAATGAAAGGTTATAACCTGCTACCACTGAGTGAAGAATCCAGGAATGAGTAAACAAATAGGTGTAGGGGTTGAGAAGTTCCTTCTTTTGACAGAAGCCAACTAGTCAAAGCAGAAGGAATGGTGACAATGGAAAATCATTATTTAATAATAATCATAATAATTGATTTGGGCAAGAATTATCAATGGATGTTTAACTAGCAAATAAAAATGTAACCTTAAAGTATCTTCAGTATAAAATACTTATTAATTTAAAAGGATAAAACAGGGCTGGGCGTGGTGGCCCACGCCTGTAATCCCAGCACTCGGGAGGCTGAGGCAGGAGGATTGCTGTGAGTTCAAGACCAGCCTGGGCTACATAGTGAGTTTCAGGTCAGTCTCAACTATACAGTGAGACCCTGTCTCAAAAAACCAAAACAAAACAAAAAAAAGGATAAAACAGTAACTTTATGGTAGAGAAACCTGGCAGACACCACCTTAACCAAGTGATCAAAATTATTATCATCAGTAATGGAATAAATCAACATATGGTATAAACTTATCATTGCTTCTGTAATATTCCTAAATACCAAAATTTAATCATAAGGAAACATCAGACAAACCAAAATTAAGAAATATGCTACAAAGTATGTGATGTCTTCTAAAAATTCAATGTTATAAAATACAGACTCAGGAATTACTATTAAAAGATAGAAGACTAAAAGAACATAGCAACTGAATGTGATGAATAAGTTTGTCTTTCTTTTGCTATAAAGAGATTACTGGGAGCCCCTGGGCATGGTGACCCATGCCTGTAATCACAGCACTCTGGGAGACTAGGAGGCCAGCCTAGGCAACTTATTGTCTTAGCAAGACCCTACTTCAAAACAAAACAAAACAAAACAAAAAAAGAGCCAGAGATGTAGCTCAGTGCAAAGGCTCTGGGTTCAATTCCTAGCCACACATACACACATACATACATACACGCACGCACATACACACACACACACACACACACAAATTATTGAGACAACTGGTAAAATACAAGACTGGTGAACTAGATAATAGTACCACATTGCTGTTTGATTAGTGTACTATGGTTATGAATACAAATTCTTTTTTTTTTCAGCTTTAATGAATACAAATTCTTTACTGTTAAGAAATATACACTTAACTGCGCCTGCCTCACTAACACAAGGTCCTGAGTTTGATTCCCAGTACCAAAAATAAATAAATAAATAAAATAAAAGAAATATACCTTTAAGTACTTAGGGGTAAAGGAGGGCCACATCTACAACTTACCATAAATACAGTTCAGGAAAAATCACACACATACACACAGACTGAGGTAAATTAAATAGAGCAGAGCAACACATTGGGGACCCCTCCTGCCTCTCCGGAGTTATTCCTATTCCTCAATTCTATTCCCCAATAAGTTTTCTTACTCTTAAAAAAAAAATAGAGCAAATGTAGTAAGATATTGATAATCTGGGAGAACAGTGGTTTCTCTTTTGTGGCGCAAGAGACTGAAACCATGGCCTTGGCCTCATGCATACAAGGTAAGCACCCCATTGCAAAGCTACCTCCTCCACTCTATGTCAAAAGAAATTTTTTTAGATCAACAATGTGAAAGAGGAAAAAAAGGTCTAAAGGTATAGGGGAAGTGGGAGAGGTAGGGGAAAGGAAAGAGGGAAAAGAAAAAATATGAGAAAAGGAAAAAAATGGAAACAAAGTCCTTGTAAATAGGGAAGGGTGGAGGTGGGAATTTAGCACAGTTGTTCTGCTGTCTGCCTCACAAGTGCAAGGTCCTAAATTTGATCCCTGGTATGAAAAAAACAAAATAAAATAAAATAGGGAAGGGTGGAGGGGTTGAAGGGCAGGGGAATGGGGAAAAAATAAGAACCAAGCTACATCATGTAAAGGTACAAGATCTCAATGATGAATGTAACTGTACTGTGTACCTAAAATGTACCAATAAACTTAATAGAATAAAGGGGGGAGGGAGAGAGAGGGAGGGAGAAAGAAGGATTGAAGGGGAAAGCGAGGAATGGGGAAAAATAATTAAGATATTATTACGTACAGGAACAAAGAAAATTTTTTTTACAAGTGAGGCTTTGGGTCACTGAACCTGCCTAAGAGTACCAACACCTCCCCTATTCAAGTCACTACAAAAAAGGCAGCTGTGCACAGGAATTGTTTGATACCTTGTTGTTTATGTAGTCGTTCCAACTCAGTCCTGAGATAGTACATTTTCTTCTGGCGGGCTTCTCGATCACTCTTCAGTTTTTCCCTTTCTTCAATAACCTGCAGTGTACAAAACGGTAAGAGAGTCCCTCAGACTCCAACATCCTCTTTTTTCTACTACCTTCTTCCAGAAGCCCTCATGCTAGTTATTTCAATCCAAGAATCAAATACCTGGCACAGCGAGGCACTGTTTTTTTGTTTGTTTGGTTTTTTTCTCACAATATTATCAATTTTGGCCTCTATTTACACTTTCCATTTCTCACACCAGAGAAACCATGTGATATTTGAACATGTGTGTCCCATTTATTTCACTTGAGTATGGTCTCAAGGTATGTGAGGCACCAATTTTGTAGTCAAATGCTATTTCATTCTGATCTAGATTTCAGAGAATTATCCTTCTTTGCAGAACCATACTACCCAGTAAGTTGTATTTTTGGGGGGGAAGTAGTATTCTTATGCAGCAATCACCTAAAGCTACTGACAACCCTGGTTCTCAGCCAGAGAGCCACGGAGAGGGAAACTATTGTGTGCCATGGATGAGACACAGCATTAGTCAGATTATGTATTTCATGTTATTTAATCCTCACATTTTCTCTGTTTTATGGTAAGAAAACTCAGCTGATGTAAAGTTAACTTACCCAATCAGTGAAAGACTTAAAATACAGGTATGTATGCCCTAAAGCTCATGATCTTTAAACTGTATTACTACCACCTAATAGGAAAAAAAAAAAAATATATATGTGTGTGTGTGTGTGTGTGTGTGTGTGTGTGTGTGTGTGTGTGTGTGTATGTGTATGTGTATGTATGGCTTGTCTCAGGCTGATGGAAAAAAGTCTATGTATTATCAGTCCTGACTTCGGTACTAGTCTATAAGGAAAATAATGAAAAAGTATATTCGGTCTTCAAATACTTATTGTCTTCGAAGTCTTAAGCATTGCCTTTATTGAACCTTTTCCAAAAAACACTTCAATAAATTAAAGCCTGAAGTTCAGGGTATTTGAGTATAACAGAAAATTAAGAGGAAGTATTTTTTGCCGTCCAAGGATTAGCTAATTTTTTTTAATGTGGAAAAAAGTGAGACTATGGGAGACTTTAAGGCTCTTGGCGCCTACCCTCAATGTTCTCTAAGGCCATCAATATAAACTGAGAAATAAATATTGAAAAGTCTAGCAATCAAAAAGGGACTTATGGCCAGACTTTGTTTAGTGGTAAGAACAAAACACATGAGATTAGGGGATGTTTACATTACATACTTAGGGTGATAACTGCAACCTCCAAAGGACTGAGAGTAGAAGGGTCTTAAATGTTTAGCCCCCTCTTAAAAAAACAAAACAAAAAACAACTCAGGCACAAGATCTCCAAAGCAAGTATCTACCTTCTGCTTCTGAGAAGCACGGTTCTTTTCATCAGAGATCTTCTCTGGGTTGTATCTTATGAGTGGTGGGATGGACACCTGGACAGGCACCAGGGGAGCAGGAACTGAGTCTGGCACTGGCTCCTCCTGTTTGGGCTTGTCAGGAGTCACAGTGGGAATCACAAGGAGGTTGGGACGGCTCCGAGAAGCTTGTTTGGTTAGTGGCATTATTCTGTGTAGCTCAGGTAGAAGGGGGCTTGCTGGCTGAGATGCAGGGTACATGGGCCATCTTGCAGCTGCATAGGCCATGTAGGACCTATAGGCATCAAAAGAAGTAGTAGGGATGGCAGGTCCCTGGTAGTTTGGAGGTATCCGAGCGGCAGCAAACTGAGGGGCCTGTGGCACATGAAACTGAGATAATGAAGCAGAGTGGGGAAGCCTAACTGGAGTAGATGGTGCAGAGGGCAACACGCATCTGACTGCAACAGCTGACTGAAACCCACTGCCAACCACCTTGGGTCCTGAAATATGCCCCACTGGATGGTCAGATTTTAGGAAGGGAGGGCTGTGTTTTGTGAGCAAGTAAGGATCCACTGGGGAGGCTGGGTGTGGATGGGACCCCTCTGGGGAGCGGGCATTGCTATGGTGTGCCTCCCTGTCATCCAGCCTGTGGGAATCTGAGGAGCATTGATCGACCGAGAAACGGTGGTCAACAGAAGAGCAACGGTCCGCTGAAAAGTGTCGGTCAACAGAGGAACGGCGATCAGCTGTGGAGCGTGATGATGGCTTCTTGCCATGAAGTCGTTCCTGTGTACGCACAGCCAGTTGACTAATCTCTGCTACTCCGATATCCAGCCCTATGGTCTTTAGCAAGTCATGAATCTTGGCATACTCAGGACTGGTCTCTTCCAGGGATTCCAGCTTTATAGACGGAGATGAAGAGGGCAAGGAGCTTGCCTTCTCCCTAACTTCATTCTCAGAGCTCCCAAGGGGTTTTGGTGGTGACTCTACCTTAAAGTCCTCTTCTTCATCCCCATAGAGAAACTTTTCCTCATCCTCAATGTCAGGGAAGCTTCGGCGCCTTTTCTCCTGTGTGCTAGTAGAATCTGCCAACATGCTCAGGATGCGGGAAAACCCACTTCCATCCTGGCTAGCTCTCTCATGGGGCAATAAGAAGTCTGTATGTCCCTCAGCTTTCAAATCCAGTTTTTCTTTGTGGCACAGAAAACTTCTAAACCTTTCTCTGAGAGGACTGTTGTCTTTGGGCACCCCGGGGAGGGGACCCCATTGGTAGAGGTTGACCTGAGGTTCCTTCAGGGTAGTCTCCAGTGTCCTCACTTTGTCTTCATTCTCTGTGGCAAAAGCTGCAATAGCACCACTTAGTGGAAGAGATGAGCGTCCAGAGTACCCTGGGTGATCCTGGCTGGTGCTGGTGCTGCTGGAAAAACTACCAAGCTGCAAAGGCAAACATAATTGATTTAACCCCTTGCAGAATCTCAGGATATTAGTAGCTGAGATAAATACTTTAAAGCTTTGTTCTTTCTGAATCAACAAGGGAGATAAAAGTCTAAAGGACATGTCGTTAGCCAAGTCTGAGATATGGGTTCCCCATCTCTCTACATGTCTTTGCTCCAACAAGAAAATGAGGCAGACTTCACGGAATTCCCATTTTCACTCTTTTTAAAAGTCTTTTTTCAAAGAATTTGATTTCAAAAGGATTTTAGGGATACCACAGATTTTCATTTCTATGGATCTCCAAAAGAAAAAACATACAAGTGGTGCTACTTAGAAGTGACCAACAGTAACTCTGGAATTTTAACTAAGCAGGCACAACTTTTATAAGTACCCTCAGTCACTTCTTTAGAACCGTTTAGCTAGGCTAATGGTCTTGCCTGATCATGTTTTCATAAGAAAGGAAAAAATGGCAAGGCTCTCAGAATGATGAGGAGACTTATCTAAAAATCAGGCAGCAAGTTGGTGGCAGCAGTGGGTCCAAAATTAGAATCGCTTGGTTTCTGGTCTACTGTCCTACAACTTACACATTTTTCTTCTCTCTAAAAACACATGAGGATATTCAGATCAACTCCTCCTTTTTCCCTTTAAGTTTCATTTACAAGAAACCCATATTTGAAGAGTCCTACAGGACTATCTACCACAAGGAAAAAAACTTTCAGTAGCTACTCTCCAAAATGTCTCTTTAGGAACCCTAAAAATACAATAATGGAAGCCCTTTACCAATGCATGACGAGACCTATGGTTTCACTTGGACATTCCTATAAGGTGTTGCTCACAGGTATAACAATGCTGGACAAATATTACAAAGTATATATACTTTGTAATATATACTGCGGAGGCTGGGTGTGGGATATATTATTACAAAGATACCACTAGGGACACAGCCTCCAGGAAAATAACCAGGGTTTAAGACACCAAAGGGACTAGCAAGTGACCCTAGAAAATATTTAACAGAGACCTGCACAGAAGAAGGCTCCATATCCACCTCAGTTCGCTTCTTCAGAATGGACTTCTTGGGCATTGCAGATACTTCCTCAGGCCGATGCAAAGAATATCCAGGCTCTGAAGCTGTTAGGGCACCTGATAATCCAGGGATGGAACAGCCAGTGCCACCATCACCTTCTCCCACCAACTCCTGACTCAAGCTTCTACTTCGTTCCTCTTCCTCTCTCTTTCTCCTGGCAAGGTCCAACTCTCGAAACTCAGGGTCTAGAAACCTAGGACTTGGGCTTCGTCTACGCTGCCGATAGTTGCGAGTCCCTGATGTAAAATTTGGGTGATCCCCTTCTATGCTGTGTATCTTTTCTGTATCATCATAACGGGGCCTTTTGGCCTCCCGGCTCCTTTCCTCAGATCGCACAGAGTAGGAGCTTTTGAGTTTATCTCTATTCCGTTCTGTTCCCCTCAAGAGCTCATCATGGCAACTGATATGGGGACTATAATCAGATCGATGCAGGAAAGTTTCTCTTGTTCTGTAGTCCTCATCAAGTTGTCCCAAAAAGGGACTAAGAGGCTGCTCCTCCTGGGAAATATATTGCTCAAGACCCCGAGGGCATTGGGAGCGATGAGTGAAGACAGAATCATCAATCAGGTCATCCCTGAGGAAAGAGACAAGCATTATTAAATATAATGGACTCGAAAAGGACAAGACCAGACAAGGTTATGACTGATATTTGACTAGTGGACTACAGAATGCTTAGTACAAAAGATAATAAATTATGAAATCCAAGAAGAGATCTATGCGATACATGAAACATTTCTCCTCCCTTTCCCCAGGGCACAAGGAGCTTCAGCCTCTAACCAGGGGGTGATTCTACCAATACATGTAGATACAACTCTTAGACTAATTTCTTTGATTATACTGGGAATGTAAAATATCATATTAGGGTTTGGGAGATGTGAAAACACCACTAACAGACTATAAGAGTCTTAAGGGTGGGGATTTAGCTCAGTGGTGCCACCTCCTGCCTTGCAAACGCAAGGTCCCCAGTTGGATCTCTAGTACCAAAAAAAGAGCTCAAGTTTGCACAACTCCAGACTAACCAAATTCAAGCTCTTTGCTACAAAAAGCGTAATCTGGACCAGCAACAATGGCATTAACTGGGAATTTATTAGAAACACAAATCCTCTGGTTCTGCCCACTACAGCCAGAGCCTGCAATTTAATAAGACCGCCAGGACAGGACCTGTCCTCCAGGTTCAAAGTGTGAGGAACACCAGTCCAGAACAAGGGTTTTTAAACTGTATTCCACAGAGATTATAAAAAATGCTTAGGAGTTCTCTAAAGGAAAAAGGTACGAGGAAAACAACCAGAAGACTGTGGGCCTTCTACCCTACTTATATCACACCAGCACCAACTTCAGGTCTACATGTTAAAGTTCTATGACATCTCACTTGGGAAAAATATGTACGACTGTGGGGGTGGGAAATGAAAACCCACAGAACTGTCTGTTTTGTCACCTTTCTTTCTATCTTTCCTGGATATTCACAAGCACTCTGCTAATCTTTGGCCCATACAGAAGTGATGGTTTGGCTCACTGTGTTTTTATTTCATAAGAATGTAAAGTTTCCATGAAAGAAAAAATACAGGATGGGACAACTCCTTTTAGCTCAGAGCTCTGCACCAAACACACTGGTCACTGTGGCTATAGACCTTCTATAAAGAGAAAATTAAATCATAGATAGAAATAAAGATCCTCTGCACCTCAAGACCATACTCTTAAGTGAAATTAATCAGACAAATGTTTAAATACATTGTTTCTCTCGTGACAAACCCAAAGTAGAAGGATTAAAATGTATAAGAGACATTGGGAAATGGGAAGAAAATGTTCAAATGGGAAGGGGAACAAGGGAGTGGGGAGAAGGAAAGGAAAGAAGGGACAAGAAAAAAAACAAAATAGAAGGAAAAAATGTAAATAAAGTTTTTGTATATAAGGAGGGGAAGAGGAGTAGAAGGATGGGAAAAAAGAAGAAACAAGATATATCATGTACAGGTACAAATTCCCTATGATGAATGTTATCATTAGTACATCTAAAATGTACCAATAAATGTTTTGCTTCAGAAAAAAAAGTAATTGGTTAAACTGTATTTGCTAGACATGTCCTTGGTCATAAAAGAAAATCTTGCTCAAAAACATATTCTTAGATGGTAAATTATACACTTTATTCAAAATTATTTATCATTCTGTATGTGTACCAAAAAACACTGAACTCAGGCCAGCGAGTCAGCTCAGTGGTGCTGTGCCTGCTTCACAAGCTCAAAGCCATGAGTTTGATCCCCAGTACCAGGAAAAAAAATACTGAACATGTGATTAAACTACAATTCTTGGTCTTGAAAAAAAAAAGAAATAAAGATCCTCTAGAACTCTAAGCATATAATTGTTAAACAATATAAATGAAGCATGGAAATTTGTGCATGTTACTCTTGCTCAAGAAAATTACTATATAAAGGATGGTAATTATTGGCATACTATTTGTAGTAACTACTCTGCATGTGTGTGCACATGTATGCGCCTAGAAGTGATTTTTTAAAAGTTATTTTCCTACCTCTGGGACTCCCTTAGCAGAACACCATGAAGTTGCCTTTTCTTACCCACCAGTGCTGCCTTTGTTCAAAGCTATAGAATTGGGCAACAGTTATAAATTACTTCATGAAAGGCTATCAAGGTTAAACTTTCTCACCTCCACTAAAAGAATGCTACCTGTGGAAATCCAGATTGGAATCTAGTGAATTTTGAGATATCAACAAAGTATGAAATAGGAAGGAATGTGAATGTACCAAGGATGATCTCTTAAATCAAACATAACTGACCTACTCTATAGGTCTACCAGTCATGACCATACCTACTTGCAGGGAAGAATGGCTAGGAGTTGAGTCACTCCATTACTAAAATATCATCTACCATATAAAAATGTCTTCTTATATTAGTGTAGGGGAAATAACACAGGCTACAAGGATAGTGGCAAGTCTATCCATGCTTTTATGGTCAGCTCCACACTAAAACTATTATGTGGAATACCAGCCCATGCTCTAATCCAACACTAAACGTCAAGAAGCTAGGAATAATAAGATGCTTCTCAGGAAGCCTTAGCCCAGATGTAGAATCTCTAACAAAATGAGACATACAATTAAAGGAAGCAAATAAATAAATTTTTTTAAGCTAGCATATAAATAGTCAGAAATCAGGTTGCGCATTAGAAACTCAGGTCTCTTATTTCTTAGGACTCCTAAGAAATAAGAGAAAACTGGCTACGACAAAAGTGAGCCAGACCTAAGAAGTACCACATCTCTTGTAGCCTGGAGTCCAGTGATGAACATTCTCTCGAAGGCTATGTTAAATCCAACTGTTTTCTAAAATAAAGTCTATTTTAAAAACTGATTGCTAGATGTAGGGGTAATGGTCACATGAGGGTTCACTGTACTGTTCGATGTTTGTGCGTCTACAAATTTCCATTCAGCAAGTTAGAAAACGCAGGGCTGGAGTGTAACTTGGCAATAAATGCCTGCCTAGCATGCACAAAGCCCAGGGTTCAATCTTCATTAACGCCAAAGGAAAAAAAGAAAAAAAAGTACATTACCTCCACATGAAAGCTTGTACACTGATGTTCACCGTAGCGTTTGTTTGTTTTGAGACAAGGTCTCACTATGTAGTTCAAGTTGCCCTTGAATTCACTAGGTAGCCCAGGATGGTCTCAAGCTCATAATGATCTTCCTGCCTCAGCCTCCCAAGTGCTGGGATCACTGGCATGTGCCACCACATCTGGCTTAGCAGCATTATTTATAATAGCCAAAAAGTGAAAACAACCCATTGTTGTCCATTCATTCACTACTAATATACAAAACATGGTTATGCATACAATGAAATATTACTGGCTATAGAAAAGAATACTATCCACATGAATAAACCTTAAAAACATTCTTAAATGAAAGAAGCCAGTCACAAAGGAAATGTAACATACAATTCTATTTATATGAAAATGTCCAGAGAGCCGGAGATGTGGCTCAGTGGCACTGTGCCTGCCTGGCAAGTGCAATGTCCTGAGTTTGATTCCAGGTACCAGAAAAATAAAAATGTCCAGAATAGGCAAATGCATATAGAAAAGAAATAGATTAGGGCTGGGACAAGTGTGAAGAGAGTAATGGTTGAAGATGACAGGTTTATGACATAACAAAAATGCTATAAAATTGACTGTACCGGTAGATCCACAACAGTGACTGTACTAAAAGCTCCTGATCTATACACACTTTAAGAGGGTAAATTATTTGGTATGTTAATTATATCTCAATAAAGTGGTTAAAATATATATGATTTATTTTAAAAGGTCCTTTATGGCTAGTGATGTAGTTCAAGTGCCAGAGACCACTTGCCTAAATGCCCTGGGTTCAATCTCAGCACATAAAAAAATGAGTCCTTCAGACTCTAAATTCTCCATTCTTTTCCTTTGCTGAGTCCTCCAAATGTCCAAGAAAGTTGTCTGCTTGGGTCTTTTCCCTAAGAAAATCGAAGGGAAATATAGTCTATTTCATCAAACTCTAAGAGATAAGAATTTCTCCTAATGAAGAATGTTTAGTATACAAAGTACTTTGATAAACAGGAAAAATTGAACTTGTATCTACTAGTCCTGAGAAACCCAGTTTCTTAGAATTTTACATACAACCTGTTTATGCTCTGTTTTGGAATAAATTATAGTCAGTTAAAGGTCTGCTAAAATAAGAACACTAACAACCCTGGTAACCTGGCTGATGTCCAGACTCAATAGGAAGAAAAAAGAATACAGTATACCCCAGCAAAGTCACAGTTCAGAGTTTGTGGCCTCAGTCATGTGCAGATTTTGCTTAAACCTAACTAATGATTGTTCCTGGAAACCTCACAATTTTGTGGAAATCACAAATATTCCCTGTAATCATGTATGTACGTGTGTGTATGTATATGTGCCTGGCTGATGTCCAGACTCAATAGGAAGAAAAAAGAATACAGTATACCCCAGCAAAGTCACAGTTCAGAGTTTGTGGCCTCAGTCATGTGCAGATTTTGCTTAAACCTAACTAATGATTGTTCCTGGAAACCTCACAATTTTGTGGAAATCACAAATATTCCCTGTAATCATGTATGTACGTGTGTGTATGTATATGTGTGTATATATGTGTGTATGTATACATATATATGTATATGTATATATAAAAAATGGCAAGAGGTTTGCAAGTAGCCAATCCGGGAGCATTACTCAGTTCTTCATGCTGCTGATTGGCTGCTGCCCTGTAACCCAGCTATGGCAGATGCACCATTCCCACATCATAACAGGTTGCTGCACTGCATGTAGCTATCTTGAGCATTCTCGAGCCCTAATATCCCTGATACCACCAAAATGCCCTGCACCACGGCTTTATTAATATAGTATTTTATTAAATTACATACCATGGGAGACATATTTATGGTTTAAACTGTAAAAATAGGCATTTATAGGGTTTTTTGTTACCCTATCTGAAATTCCTAGTTTTTCCACAATTCACAAGTGCTCAAGGAACGTAACTCCAGAAAATTTTGGGGGTCCTCTGTATTATGGTCTTAGAAGAAAATAAATATCTATAAAGGCTGGAAATGTCCCATTTAATTAGTGGAAGATGAGACTCACTGTCAAGAGACATCTGAATATGCCAATGGCCCCATGGCCTGGTTTTAGCAGACAATAAACATCCCCACAAACCATACTGAGAAAGTGCAAAGAAACACAAATGTGGAGGTTGTAGAAGAGAACGGCCTTGTAACATCCATTCAGAACCTTAATTTAACTTTCTCTAAAGCTCACGTCTCTCTGAAATATATGTTTCTAAAAAGATGATTATAGTCCTAAAAGTTTTACAATTTAAAAAGACAACAGATTATCTGAAGTTAATAACAAAGTTTATGCATAGGGGAGGTGACAACCTAGGCCTAAAAAGAGGAAATGCTGAAGTTCCCTCAAAACCTCAGCAAGGAAGGAAAAGAATCACACTACATGCACCACCTACCCAAACTGCCTACTCAATAATCTCCTAAAATAGAAGCCACCGGAAGGGCAAGAGCTGTTTTCTCCTGAAGCATATAGTCACAAACTTTGAAGCCCTGCCCTCTGAACCCTCAGTGTTTTAGGACATAGGCCTGCCCTGCCTCGCTTCACCATGTCCACAGCCTCTGAAGCTTTGAAATCAATGCTACCAAGAGCAGCACTGTCCTCAGTCTTCTACCCAACTGACCCTCTTCTGCCCACCTCTGCTCCATGCACTATTGAACAGGTAGCCTCGGTATGAAAGATAATTTCTTTGATCTTTGTTACTGCTAATCATTTGTGGAAACTCTTGATATGCAAGCAGAGATCATAACAGACACAGTCTCAGCCCTGCACTCCCATCTTTCTGATTTTTTTGAGGTAAACAATATCTAATGAGATTATTCACTTCCTATATTATTATTATTATTATTATTATTATTTTGGTACCAGGGATCGAACTCAGGCCCTTGTGCTTGCAAGGCAAGCACTGGAACCACTGAGCTAAATCCCCAGCCCTATTATTATTATTATTGGTACCAGGGATCATACTCAGGACGTCCCACTTGCCAGGCAGGTGCTGTGCCGCTGAGCTAAACCCCTGGCCCTACTTCCCATATACAGTCAACTTCCTAGTACCTGAGGTCAATATTCCAGGTTGTAAGTCTACCTGCCCTTCCTTAGCACTCAATAGTTGAACTTAAACATTTTTAAAGATTTCTAACTTTTACCATTGCCTATACGTTTAATATACATACATATATGAAGCATATTGAAACCCTGTCTGAATCAGTATTTTGACCTTCACAAACTTAAAAAAAATTTTTTTTAATCTTTCCTGCAACCAGGCGTGGTAGCACATGCCTGTTATCCCAGCAACTCAGGAGGCTGGAACAGAAGGATCCTAAGTTCAAGTCCAGCCTGGGCAGTTTAGCAAGACCTTGTTGCAAAATGAAAAATAAAAAGGGCTGATTGAGCTGAATGGTAAAACACACCTGAGTTTGATAGTATTACACAAAAAAATTCCTATTTTCTAGAACCTTTCTTTGCATAAGGGACCCCTCACAGTTCCAATGTTTTAGAATCTACGTTATTTCAATTAATTTTTTTTGCTTTTGAGACTGATTATAGCTCTCAGAACTCTATTTCTAGACATACCATGGTGAGCTTCTTAAAAGTCTTTTCTAATTCATTCAGAAATAGTCTATATTAATACAATCCCCTCTTAGAAATGTCATACTTTGTACACACACAGGGACATAGGAAATAGTTTGAGTGTTGACACCGTCCTTTCAAAGACATCTTTCAGAAAACAGCAGTATTTCTGCCTACCTGTCCATGTCCTCTGGATTATCCACTGGTGACTCCAGTCGATCATTAAGGCGTCGCCGTTCTGGTGTGCTAACACAAAAGTGGTCATTGCCAACAGTGATTCTTAAGCTCTGTTCCAAAGAAGAGTCAGAACGCAGACCAGGAGAGCGTCTCTACAAAGGCAAGTGTTAATATGGTCAACACATACCTATTGCCAAAAATGGTCTCCTTACTCACAATGTTGTGGTCCAACAGGGTAAGAAGTAGGTATAGTAAGAAAACTATTATCAAAAAATAAAGCATTGTCAGGTGTGGTGGCAAACACCAGTAATCCTAGTACTCGGGAGGCTAAGGCAGGAGGATCTCTGTGGGTTTAAGACCAGCCTGGGCTACACAGTGAGTTCCAGGTCAGTCTCAACTACATAGTGAGACCCTGTCTCAAAATACCTAAATAAATAAATTAAATAAAGCATTTCTTAAAATTATCATTTTCTTAGAGATTAAAACCCATACCTTTAATCTTCCCAGTGACCTCTCATTCTTACTAGATATGGAGACAGGAGAAATGAATAGTCTTTGCTCTCAGAATCTATACACTTCTAGTGAAAGAGGGAAGCCAAAAACGGGTGTATTTTTTCAAGTACTTCTCATCAAAGTGCTATAGAGTCATTAAAACATGGCACCATGAAAGACTGGGGAAAAGGAGGAGGTGCTCAGATAGGATGGTTAGAAGCACTTCAGAGGTGATATCATTTAACCCAGGGGACAGAATGAGATGTCAGCCTTCAAAAGACAGAAGGGTATTTCAGGCAAAGGGAAGAAGTACCTGGGTAATGAACTTGGCATGTTCTGGGTAACAAGTCTGGTTGCAGCAAAGTAACAGAGAAGACAGAAACCACAACTGGGATTTTTCCCCTCCAGTAGCCAGGAACAAACAGACTAAGCTTTACCACTGAGCTACAATCCCAGCCCTTTTTATTTGACAGGGTCTTGCTAAGCTGGTTAAATCACCATCCCCAGGTTATAGTTAGGAAGTTTTGATTTTATCTTAGTATATTAAGAGGTATAGGAGGATCTGAAGTAAGGCTGTGATGACATTTTCCCTCCAGATGTTTGCACTGCCCACTCCCTCCTCCTCTCCTGTATTTACTCATCACCTACTCAGAAGACCTTAGGCTATCCTACCCTAAAAACCTTAACTCCTTCTTTTCTCTGCTTTATTTTGTCCTTAGTACCTAGTCACATTTAACACATTTAACATGGCATTTCTAACTTCTCCATCTCATTATCCAACCCACCCTGCTAAGACTTTTACACTCAAACAGCAATTCTTAGGATTGTTTACTCCTATGCCACATACATGCCTGATGTTCAATAAACACTTCACACATGGGAGTTTACACTAAAATGACAGCATGAGGATAGCTCTGGGGGTGCCGCTTGGAGGTACAGCTAAGTGGTTAGAAATATGAGGTGTGGCAGGTTTGAATGGGAAGAAGGGACATGATGACAGTCTCTGACTTGAACAAGGGATGGTACCATCTATGACGATACCATTTACTGAGACAAAGAGATTGGGGCAAATAAACTACATTGGAGTAGAAAACAGAGGTCGAGGAAACAAGTATTCTGTTCTTGCTCCCGCTGCAGGGTCTCAGCTTTAAAATCTTAAGAGTGACAAGTCAATCTGTCCGTGACCAAAGGACACAGAAGGCTTACAGGCCGTTAAGAGAGCTCCTCAAAAAAAAAAAAATTTTTTTTGCCACTGTTTTAAAAAAAAAGACTGATGAACTGTAAATAGAAACAAAGTCCCGAACACCAGCCCCACCGGGCTCTGTTAGCTCTGGTTACCTAGGAGTTTGGTGTCACATCTACCTTCTTTGCCTGTGCTAGGGACCGGGCCCAGGAGTCCACAGCTCAGCAGAGCACCCTAGCTCGAGCTGCACCCCAGTCCTCCAAGTTCACGTCTAACCTCACGCTGCACCGTTAGCCGTGAACCTAACGGTGCAAAGTGTGGGCTGCGGGACCGGTCGGACGGGACCTAATCACAGCTCCACCACTTCTCGGTGGTGTCACCTGCGTCAGAACATTAGGCCTCCTTGGGCCGGGTTCTCGGCGAAGCCCCAAGGGGCCTACTGCTGCACCTCCAAGGCTGGGGTCGCAAGGCGCCGGCGACAGTGACCGCGCGACGTGTCCCCGCTAACAGGTGCGGTGTCCCCAGGTCGCCACCCGAGGCCCTGACAGCGG